CCCTGCCACTCCTTCTCCCCGTTCTGCACCCCAGCACCTCCTGCTGCAGCTCCCAGGACGCTGCTTCATCCTTTCCATGTTTTTCCAGGCTGGGAATCGGGGCTGTGATGAGCAGGGCAGTGCCACCAGCCCTGTGGCGACAACCCCTCCATCCATCACAGCCATCACACCCATCCCGGCCCCCGCGGTGACACCTGCAGCGATCACAACTCGCTCCGACCCATTTGGGTTTTTTACAGCATTTTCAGGGCTTGGGGTGGCTCAGAGGGTTTTTTTCCCCTCGTTTGGCTGCACTGGGAACTGCAGGCTCTGGAGCTCGTGGTCCCCAGCTCCCCCCTTCGACAGCAAAATCTCATTTAATCAAAAGATGCGGCGACTGGATGTGCAGAAGCACTTGGCTCTCTCGCTTTTTTTCCCCCTTCAGAACTGCCATTTTAGCTGTAGCAAACAAATGCACGGCATTGTCCCCACGACACGGCTCCCTCCGACAACCCCTCCTGCAAATCCCCGTTCAGCTGCTGCCGAGCTCCCAGGAAAAGGGGATTTTGGCCCTGGGACACAGGGACACAGGAGCAAATCGGCACTGGCAGTGGTGTGGTGGGCAGATGTGGAGTGGGGACGGGGCTGAGCGCAGCTGTTTCACCTCCAGCCTCTTCCCGTTTCATTTCATCTCCCCTTGGATGCTGGCCCAGGGAGCGGGGGGAGAAATAAAACCAGCTCTTTCATCCTCAAAAATAGTCTGGCACCCTCTTGCACAGAGCTCCAGGGACGGGATTAACGCGCTGGCACAGCAGGGGACAGGGGGTCTCGCAGTGGGGCTGGGTTTGGGGGCCATCCCGGCCTCATCCCAATCCAGTGGGGACAGCCAGGGGATGGGCACGGTGTGTTTCAGTGTTGTCATCCTATTGGGATGGCTCTCTGCCTCCCTGGAGTGAGGGACACGGAGGGAGCAGGGAAGGGGGACCCCACTGCCATCAGAATGGGGGCAGGGAAAGCTGGCACATGGAGGCAGGGGACAGAGGACCCAATGTCCAGGGACAAGGAAAAGGGACCCTGCACATGCAAGGAGGAGACTGGAAACCCCAGTGGCATGGGAATGGGGACTAGAAATCTTGCACGTGCATGGAGGGGCCTGGGGACCCCAATGGCATGGGATTGCAGACCCCAGTGGAATGGGAACTGGGACAAGGGACCCTGCACATGCATGGAGGGGACTGGCAACCCCATGGGAATGGGGAGAGGGGACCCTGCACATGCAGCAGAGGATTTGGGACTCCTGAACATGCAGGAAAGATACTGGAGATTCCGATGGCATAGAAATGGGGACAAGGGACCTCTGAAGATGCGGGGAGGGAACAGGGACAGCGAGGCTGCAGAAACAAGGAGCAGGGACCCCAGTGGGGGACAAGGGACACGGCTGCCATGGGGATGGGGACACTGGGACAAGAGGGGACCAAGGACCCTGGTGCAGTGGGGATGGGGACCAGGAAACTCCGGCACATGGGAACGCCAATGCCATGGGAACAGGGACACACACAGGGCACACACAGGGACCGAGGGCCCCGATGCCACATGGACAGGCACCACACACAGGGAGGGACCCTGATGACAAGGGAATGGGGACTGGGAACCCTGGCACATGCAGGAAGGAGTCCAAATATCCTAATGGCATGGGGACAGGGACTAGGGACCCCAACATATGCACAGTGCCATAGGGATGGGGACCGGGCACCCTGGCACACGTGGGCTGGGGACCCTGATGCCATGGGGACAGGGGCTGCAGACCCCAGCACGTGCAGGGAGGGGACTGGGGATGCTGGTGCCATGGGGACAAAGATTAGGGACTTCAGCACATGCAGAAAAGGGATTGAGGACCCTGATGTCATGGGAACACGGACTGGGGACTTCAGCACATGCAGACAGGGGACCGAGACCCCCAGTGACATGGGGACAAGGATTAGGGACCTCAGCACATGCAGACAGGGGACCAGGGACAGCTCACTCCCAGCGTGCCAGCAATGCCAGGGACACCCCAGGAAAGGCTTTTTGGGACGCAGACCCGTAGAACAACTACACATCCCAGAGCCACCACGCCACTGCTTCGCCATCCCCACTCCCAGTGGGGCCAGCAAAACCGCACCACAAAAGCCCAAAATCTTGGGGGGCCACACATTTTGCCTTCTCCCAGACCCCACTGCCTCCTCCTCAGAGCCACCTCCCCCCGGATTACCTGCGATGAAGACTCCATGTCGGCAGTCTCGAAAAACAAACCTCGTCAGGGCTAACGAGGTGCCAAAGGCCACGAGCAGGGCTCGTTTATGGGCCCCCATAACAACCTGACCCCAGAGGACTCTGCTCCCGGCCCTTCCCAGCATGATGCAACCTCGGCGACGCTCAGCACACCCCAGCACCCACCAACCACCAACCACCAACCACCCCGGCACCTGCCGTGGGGCTCTAGGGTTTCTCTCTTTTTCCCAAAGCACCGGAGGCAGCTCCAGCGTTGGCGGGCGCAACGCGGGTGCGAGAGATGTTCGGCATCCCCGGATCCCCACGGAACACGTGGTGCCGGGGCCGGTCCTCACCGCCGACTCCAAACTTCGGCCACGCGTTTTGACAACGCTTGACCTCGGCGATGGTCCCTTCGGCGGCGGTGGTGCCCCCGTCTGCCACCAAACCACCGCTCGCGGCACCGGGACGAGCCAAGGTGCGGGCTCGGCGGGTGAATGAGACCCTGCCGAGGAGGACGAGCGGGTTTTGCTGCCCACCTCCATCCCGGTGACGGAAAGCGGGGGGTGCCCGCGCCGGACCCCGAGTCCTCGTCACGGCGAGGGATGTGACAGCTGCCACCAGCACGGTGACGTCAGCGTGACGTCACGCAGCGGGGAGCCTCATCGCCCTTGTTTCGCATCATCACCTCTGAGCTCAGCACATTTCGGCGATGGGCGGCATCGGTCAATAAATAACAATAATTAATACAGGCCACAAGCATGTGGAGTGATGCA